ATTGAAATATATACCTGCCGGTCAGAGACCGACCTCGCCCTCTTTTAGCCTCGGCCGAAACATTCCGTGTTTTCCGCGCCATATCGACTACTCGAGGGTTCAACAACACAAGTTCCGCTGGCATGTAAATGTAGCGCCAGGTGCCGAGTAAGTACAGATGACGAGAGTGGTGCGAGCTACTTATGCGCACTCGAAAGGGGACTTTTGGTTGTAGACGTGGAACATACCTAGTTCTGTTTTTGTCAAGGTGTGGTTGTGGCAATTGAGACACAATGGTCGCGAGGTGTCATTTCTAGAGACCCTTTCTTACCCCCGCCCCGTACAGTAAGAGGTGCGTTGTGAAATGGTCAGGTGAATCTGGCATGCAACACGCTAGTACTAGTACTCCCAACGCGCGTACACACACAGGACGGAAAGCTAAGAGCTTGGGCCGATCGCTGCTCTTGTTGTTCTCAACAACAACAACAGCGGCGTTTTGCATGAGGGGTGTGCATGCCTCAGCGGTTAGATCATCGGCCACGCGTCCTCGAGAGGGCGGACCGTTATTCCCACAGGGTCGATCACCGATGGCCAACCGTTCCTTCGTACTTTGCCAAAGGTGACCCCAGAATGCTTTCCTCAGCCTGGCTACCTTACGTCGATTAGCACTTCCCGTTTTGCAGGAGGGAGGTGGGGAGATCGCGATGCACTCGCGAGACGTGAAAGGGTCGATGCGCAGGAAGGACGACCGAAGAAAGCGAGAGAGGGAAAACCGCAAGTGAGCTGCAGCACGCAGGACGGGCAATACAGGACTACGATGTACCATATGTAGCATGCCCACTGAAACAAACAAACCGAGAAGGGTGTTCAAATCGACGTCCGGAATGTTCAGGATGACATTGTTGACGAAGACATAAGGCGTTGGCAGTGCCACGCGCTATGGTTCTGGCCTCTCGCGATTGCGCACACCGCAAGTTGTGGAATCGTGTAGAAGCGGTTTCACGCTACGGCCTTTTGTCTGGGGTAAACGGCAAGCGTAAGACGAGGAGGGGATGGGACAATTTAGCCTGGGATGATGGTATTTGTTTTATGCTGCAATCGCTTCCAGCTGTATATGCAGCTCATGTTTCTCCTTGTCATGCCAGGGTACGCAAGGCCGAGGAGAGGCAGCGGAAAGAAGCCGAGCTGCGGCGCCTGAAGAACCTCAAGCGCGAGGAGATCAGGAAGCGCCTGAAAGCCATCCAGGACATGAGCGGCGGCGCCCTTCTCGAGGAGGGGGGGGGGG